ATTAGTTTCAGGTGTACAACATACTGATTCAACTTTTATATACCTTACAAAGTAATCACAACAAGTTTAGTATCCATCTGTCACTGAACCAAATTATTATATTACTTACTCTATTCCCTCTGCTGACATTACACCCTTGTGACTTATTTTATAACCAGAACTTTGTATTTCTTATTCCTCTTCCCCTTTTCATTAAGGCTTAAGTGGGTCTATTTTTATATTACACAGTCTATCCCTCTCTCAGCTGTAGTAGTAGCATTGCCATTTGTAATATAGTACTTTGGCAACAGTTTCAACTGGAAAGTTCTGAGAGAAATTCATGCAACATTTTCTGAACAATGCCTGGTACTATGCTAAGTGACATGGGAGAAAAGACAAATAAAAGAGCATCCCTGAGCTCAAGATATTCACAATGAAAATACGATTATTATTTTAAGTCTCCACAAGCTGCTTCTCTCCTCCAGTGACCAAGGAGTTTGCTTAGCTTAGTGGTATTCATTGCAGATCCATGAGGCCTCTGTTAAAACTTTGTGTTTTTTTTTAATTTTTATTTTAGAGAGAGGGGAAGGGTGAAATAATCGATAAGAGACACATGGATCAACTGCCTCTTAACACATGCCTGTGCCCCAACCAGGACCGAACCAGCAACCCACCCATTCTGTGCCCTGACCAGGAATCGAACCCTTGACCTTTTACTTTGTGGGATAATGCCCAACCAAACTGAGCCACACAGGTCAGGGCATCTGCTAAAACTTTGTAAATGTTTTTGTTTCCGCTTTAGTGATAATCTAAAAGATTGTCTACAAACATATTCTAGGGCATCTGAACTGCCATCTCATATCTAAGTAGAGCTATATGAATTGCTTGTCTGAGCTTTCATTTATGGTCCGAGACTCAGAGTATTATTCCTATTGCCCAGGATGAGAAAAGAATAGAGGTGAATTACAACTTAAAGACATAGCTATGACTCTACAGTTAAATAACCACACAGCTTACTTGTAATGAGCAGAACTAGGCCATCACATGGTATAAGGTAGTGTTAACTTGCCATACTCAAAAAGCTCCTGCATTTTAACAGTTGCTTCTATATTCTCAATATATTGGAAATTTCCAACAAAATACCATGTGACTCTGAAATAATAGTTTAGACTGGTTTTGTTCGTATTTAATTTTCTTTAGTTTTAGAGTGGTATAAAAGATAACAAGTTTAGAACTTGACTTCCACAAAGATGGAGGTGTAGGTGGAAGCACTGTGCCTTCTAGCACGACTAGGTTTTAGCAACAACAAAAACAAAAGCAACAAAAACAACAAAAGTTTTAGCAACAAAAGTGCAGCCAAACCACAGAAAATTGAACTACATGGAAGTCTGACAACAACGAACCCTTCAGCCAAACCGGTAAGAGGGGCAGAGCCAGCAGCAGAGTGGGGTCGGGCCGGAAAGATCCACCGGATTGACCCAGGAGCGCCAGCAGCCATGGGCGGATCCCAGGTGTGGAGAAGCCGGCAGACCCACTGAGGGTGCAAGGCATTGGACCCACTGAGGGCTGATCGCAGTCACACATTAGCACGCAGATAAACCGGTGAAGGAGCTAGCAGTGAGACGGACCGTGTAGGCCCCAGCGGCAGAAAGCAGCAGAGGGGACTGCCATTGTCCCTCTCTGACCCCACCCCCACATACAGCATCGGCAAACCAGCAACCTGGGTGGCCCCACCCTGGTGAACACCTAAGGCTCCGCTCCTCATAATTAAAGGGCATGAACAGATCAAAACATGGCTCAAGAACAACTCAGAGCCCCAGAGCCCATAAATCTAAGCAAACAAGAAATAGCCAAACTTTCAGATGCACAGTTCAAAACACTGGTGATCAGGATGCTCGCAGAACTGTTTGATTTTAGTCACAAATTAGAGAAACATATGAAGGCTAAACTAATTGAAATGAATGGAAATGCACAGGAAACCAATAGTAATGGAAAGGAAGCTGGGACTCAAATCAAAGGAGTGGACCAGAAGGAGGAAAAAAATGACCAAACAGAAAAGGATGAAGAAACAAGAATTCAAAAAAATGAGACATCTAAATTTAGGACATCTTTAAACGTTCCAACATCTAAATTATAGGGGTACCAGAAGGAGAAGAGGAACAGCCACATGGGGAAAACTTATTTGAACAAATAATAAAGGAGAACTTCCCCAAGCTGGCAAAGGAAATAGACTTCCAGGAAATCCAGGAATCTCAGAGAGTCCCAAAGAAATTGGACCCAAGAAGGAACACACCGAGGCACATCATCATTACATCAGCCAAGATTAAAATGAAGGAGACAATCCTAGAAGCAGCAAGAGATAAGGGGACAGTCACCTACAAAGGAGTTCCCATCAGACTGTCAGTGGATTTCTCAAAAGAGACCTTACAGGCAAGAAGGGGCTGGAAAGAGGTATTCCAAGTCATGAAATCCAAAGACCTACATCCAAGATTGATCTATCCAGCAAAGCTTTCATTTAGAATGGAAGGACAGATAAAGTGCTTCTCAGATAAGATCAAGTTTAAGGAGTTCATCATCACCAAGCCCTTCTTATATGAAATGTTAAAGGGACTTAGCTAAGAAAAAGAAGATTAAAAAATAGGAACAGTGAAAGGACAGCAAACTCACAGTTATTAACAACCACACCTAAAACAAAAGCAAACTAAGTGGACAGCTAGATCAGGAGTAGAACCATAGAAATGAAGATCACATGGAGGGTTAGCAACAGGGGAGTGGGAGAAGGAGAAGGGGGGAGAAGGTACAGAAAATAAGTAGCATAGATGGTAGGCAGAAAATAGATAGGGGGAGGGCAAGAATAGTATGGGAAATATAGAATCTAAAGAACTTGAGACACGTGGTCATAAACTAAAGGGGGGGAATGGTGGGGGAGGGGGTGTAGAGGGAAATGAAGGGGGAAATAGAACAACTATAATGGCCTAATCAATAAAATATACTTTTAAATGAAAAATTAAATTAAATTAAAGATATGTTAAAAAAAGATAAGTTTATACTTATGTTTGAACACATTCCATTAATATCACAATAAAAAATAGTGTTTTATACAGTTTGGGGTTCTTTTTGGCCTTAAAAAGGGTACACATACTCCTCAGGCAGAGAAATAGCAATCTAGGTCTTATTCCTTGCCCTAGGAATCATCTAGGGCTCATCCCTTGCCTTAATTTTTCAGAGGCTAATGTTCCATAAAACCATAAAGATACTTTAGATGACCACTTTGGCTTTAATTGAAAGGTCAGTTGGGTACACAGACAATAATCTAATGTTTTAGGTCATCTAACTATTCTTCCAAATAGAAGAAACAGGTGATTTGGCCCATAGGAACAGAAAAGTGACTCTGCACATTTTCCTCATGTTTAAGAATGGTATCCATGTTACAGACACTCAGCATCTACAGCCAATGCTTAATTCAAGAAGGGACATTACATTACTAACACTACTTGGTTTTAGTAACAGCAGCCTTAAAACCAAAAGACCTGAAATAAATTTTTAATGTAGACACCCATGAAAAGAAAACATTTAAGATATCCTTAATATTGTTGAGACACAGTATGAGGGTTTTCCAAGTAAAAATATTTACACGGTAGAATCCACACTTCACGCTCTGGTAACATGCTAACAAATCTGAAAAGAAAATTACATAGTACACTACTGTACATCCGAAGTCAAAACTGAGACTGATGTAGGGCAAGACAGCTTAGACATGGCTACATTTTGGGGGTTCCTAAATCAAGCAGCAATGAATACCACAATAAACATTTTACTACAAATAAAGGATATTTAGTATTACAGTAAAGATATCAATCTTTATATATTTTTGTCTCCAAAGTCTTTCTTTTTAACAAATTGTGAAAAATACCCATCATAGTTTGATTATTTCCAAATAGTAATTTAGTCTATTTCTTATTCATGCTATAGCTGTTTTCTAGTTTTATTCCAGGTATTTTACAAGTAACCAAAACATCCAACTCAGGAAAAGTTATCATGGTTAAGAACATCTGGGAGAGGTTTAGGTGCAACAATAACCAGAAACCCTTTCAAAGTCCAAGCAATAGAACAAATCCTATCTATGATAATGCAGACTTATTTTTTAAAGAAAGTGTTGGTAACCCTCCATAAACAATTTAGGAACAACTTATCACGGGCATTTGTGGGTCAGCCAGAAGTATCCAGGAAGATAGGGCAGCAGAAATAATTTTGGTGGGAGGGGCAAACCTAGAGAAAACGTCGAGTCTGTATATTCGTAAGTAGAGTTACACAGATTCATGGCACAAAGACATTACAAGTGAGTTTACAAAATATTCCTATGTTTCCAGGAAAATCCTGATCAACTAAGTCTGTAAAAAATTTTAATTCCAACCTTCCGATTTTTAATCGATTACCATGTGCAAACATCACTGGTTCATATTTTTGAACACATACTGCGCTCAATATTGGGTATTACCCACGCCATTTAAGCCTCACAACCACCACCTGCAGCAAGTACTATTATTCATTTTACGATTAGGAGACTGAAGCCTCAAGAGTTTAATAACTGACCAAGAATACACGATCAACAGGAACTGGAACTAAAATTCCAACTGTAACACGCCCAAACACGATAATGCCTTGGAAATTAACAGCACGCAGACAATAGGAAAGTTAGTTCTTCAAGGACGAAATACAACTTCCTAATCCAAGTGAAGCCATGGGAAAACTTAGGTTCCAAGCATAAGGTGTGAGTCCTGTGTTCACACTCCCAGCACGCTGACGTTAATTACCAGAGTTACTGCGGAGGGTCGATTTGGGAATGCTCGGCCTTCAAAGCCGAGGCGCAAGGGCACAGCCCACTCGCTGCACCAAGCGCGGTGTGGCTGGGTCCCGGCGCGCCTCTCCGCCCGAGGCCACAGCAGGCCGCCCGCCAAGCCCGGCGAGGCAGCGGGCAGGCGCGGCGCGGGGCCTCTCGGGCCGCTCCCCCGCACACTCACCTTCTGTTCCTCCGCGGAGGCTGCCTCGGGGACTTCCGCGGACATACTGCTCCCTCTGCGGACGAGACACCGGGAAGAGATGCAATTACCGGATGGCCCAGGCTGCCCGGCCGCCGCAGACCCTCCCGCCCCTACTCTCCGACCTTGCGCCTGGACCGCCTGCGCCCGCGGAAATGGCTGCCACCTTATGACAACACAGTGCTGCGGCGCTCGGCGCGGCCCGCCCGCCGCCCCGCCGCCCCGCCGCTCAGGCCCCTCCGCACCCTAGCCTACCTTACTCTGCTTGTCTGGCTCTGCGACGCCGAGGCACTTCCTTTCTTCCTTCAAAGGTCGCGGCTGGCGCCTTACCTCACATCCGTCTGCCGAATGCTTTCTGGGAGTTGTAGTTTGTAGCAGGTGGGGCCGCCTCTGGCTCTCTAGTCCTGTGCTGCTGCTCCTCGCCCTGGGCTGTGCAGCCACGCGGTATGTCCAGGGCGCCCCAGATGTCTGTGCTGCTTTCCCGCACAAGCCTTTCCCCTCGGCTTCATCTAATTGACCCTGTTTGTTCATTTTTCACATTCCCTACCCTACATCACTGCTTCAGGAAGGCCCATTCCAGAGTCCCTACACCAGGTCAGGTCCACCTCCTAAATGCTATCACATCTCTGTATAGTTCAACACATATTGTATCATTAGACAATAATTATCACTTTATTAATGTCTGCTTTTATGCTCAGATAAGCCACATCAGGGAAGGAACCTTGCCTATTAGTTGCTTATATTTCACCCCAGAACCCCAGCATTTCTTAGATATTCAATAAGTATCTGATTCAACTTTACTTCATTTGTCTACTCCCACAGCTTCACTGAAACTGCCGGAGCCAAACTCCTCCCATGACTTTAACTGCCAAATCCTTGGGCTTTACCTTTAATCCTTACTTTACTCGGTATCTGCAATACCTGGTGGCTCCACTGAAGTAGTTCTCAGAAACCTGGAAGTAAGGTTGGCTTTTAAGTTAAACTAGTGGGAAGCAACAGATAATGACTAAAGTTCTGTGGGAGTTTGGAAACCATCAACACTCAACCAGGTTGTCCTGGGGAGAATCTCCGACAGGAAGAATTGTCCTAAGATTGCAGCTTTAAAAACAAGAATTATACTGCACTCATTTTGGAGCAAAGAAGAGGTAAGGAGGTAAGGAGGTATTTAAACTACAAGGGTTCAAGAGGTCAGCTCTTTGAAGAGGCTATCCCTTGAGAGTACCTTAAGCTGGGTTAGCTGTGAAACTGTGCGATCGACTAGATATTAGTTCTCATTCCATATTCACAAAGTAACCTACTAAAAATGTGCCTTCCTTTAATGCAGAACGACAGGGCGAAAACGAAATGCATTGGGTAGGCTACTGAAGCATCTAACAGTTGTATTTTTATTAATAAATTGTCATTCTGGTATATATCCTATATAAATGTATCTGTGAGCTTGGGTTAAAATCTGATAGACAGCTCTGGCTGGTGTAGCTCATTGGATTGAGTGTGGGCCTGCGAACCAAACAACTGCCGTTCAATTCCCAGTCAGGGCACATGCCTGGGTTGCAGGCCAGTTCCCAGCAGGGGACACACGAGAAGTAACGACATATTGATATTTCTCTCCCTCTCTTCTTCCCCTCCCCTCTAAAGATAAATAAATAAAATGTAAAAAAAATAAATAAATAAAATTGATAGATACACATGTATTAATTAAAAAACAAGTTTATGTGGCCTTGGGTAAAAAGAATTTGTTTCTGAAAGAAAATGACACTTGCATGGGGGCAAGTTTAAATTTCTAGGAGGCTGACTTTGGTCAATGAAGAATTTACAAAGGCCAATGCCCCCATTTTAGGGACCCGTTTGGGAAGCCACCCTTCTTCAAGAAGCCACCTGTGTTCTTCAAGTAACACAGGTCTACATTATCAACCATGAACCTAATGTTTAAAATTGCACAATTGAGCCCTGGCTGGTGTGGCTCAGTGTATCAAGTGTCAGCCTGCAAACCAGCGGGTCATCAGTTCGATTCCCAATCAGGGCACATGCATGCATTGTGGGTCAGGTCCCTAGTAGGGGGCATTCGAAAGTCAACCACACACTGATGTTTTTCTCCCTCTCTTTCTCCCACCTTTCCCCTCTAAAACTAAATAAAATCTTTTTAAAAATTAAATTAAAATAAAATTGCACAATGATCACCAACACCCTGTTTCTTAAAACTTTCTTCTCTTGACTTCTAGGATACCACTCTTTTATTTTCTATTTCTCTGGCCATTCCTTCCTATATGTGTTGTGTGTGTATGTACAGTTGTGGTTTATTCATTTATGCTCAGATGGCTACCATGAATACATATTTTAATGTAATTTTCTAATTAAGTAAATTAAAGGAGAAAAACCATATGGATTATTTCAATAGATTTAGAAAAAGCATTAAATAAAGTTCAAAACTTGAATGTTAAAAAAAAAGAAAAGAGAAAAAACAGGGTGTTGCCTCCACTCTCGTCCCAGTCTTCATTCTATTCTCAACCTGTAGCTAATGTGTTTAGTACTGAAGTCATTAAGATTATGTCACTCCCAACCCTGGCCCAGAAACTCAATTGGTTAGAGCCTTAGAATATCATCCCAATATTGCAAGGTTGCAGGTTTAATACTGGGTCAGGGCACACACAAGAGTCAACCATGAATGCATGTGGGGAAAAAAATTGATGTTCCTCTCTCTCTCAAAGTCAATTTAAAAAAAGATTCTCCTTTCACAGAATCTGGCCATTCTGTCTTAATCTCCTTTGTTGAGTCTACTTGTCTGTTAATGGTAAAATTCTAATATTTTTTTTAGAATTTCCTCTTCTCTTTTTGTTTTACACCTCCAGGATACGACTTCCACCATCATAACTTCAATTGCCATCTATATATTCTAGATTAGTGCTGTCCAATAACATTTGCTGTGATGATGGAAATATTTTGTATCTCTGCTATCCAACACAGCCATATATGACTATTGAGCATTTGAGATGTAACTAATGCAACTGAGAAACCATATTTTAAATTTACATTTAGAATTGGCCCCAGGGATTACAATCACTAAGAAACCCTATTGGTGGAGTTTCTCAATAGGTCTGGAGCAAGGTCCAAGAATTGATGTTTGGCAAAGCTCCTTCCGGTGGTTCGGATGCACACGTGCACATGATTTTTTTGGCTTAGAATCTGGTCGGTATATAAAAACTTTTTAAAAGATCAGGGGTTTAGTTGGTAGGAGTCTGAGTAAAGAAGATGAGATTATGTCCCTCCCCATTCCATTCTTCAAATGTCTGAGAGAGGAAGCCCACCTGCATCACTGCTGATATTATAGCAAATAGCAAGAGCAGAATACATTTCTAATGAAAGGAAGAGACTGGAAGTCAGCTCAGGGAAACCAAGTAAGATGGAGTTCTCAAAACCCTGAGGATAAACGGCGACTTCTGTGAGCGAAGCCTGGGGAAACTGACCTGAAATAAGCAGGTGAACTAACTGTAAAAAGCTGTTTCTACAACTTGAGTTTGGGAGTGAAACCTAGAAAGTGGAGGATGCCACTTCTCTTGGGATTTAGTGAGATGACAGACCTTCAATGAACCGAAAAGATTAAAATCTCAGAGTATTTGCTAAGCCCTGACTCGTGTGGCTCCGTGGGTTAAGCGCTGTCCCACGAACCAAAAGATCACCAGTTGGATTCCTGGTCAGGGCGCATGCCTGAGTCGCGGGCCAGGTACCGGTTGGGAACATGAGAGAGGCATGTTTTTCTCCTTCTTTCTTCTTCCCTTCCTGTCTCTAAAAATAAATAAAATTTAAAGATAACATTAAAAAATAAGTATTTGCCACAATGTGTTTCTAAAACTTTCCTCAGCTATATTTGCATGTTTCCTGACCACAAATTAAGTTGACTGGCTTCTGTGAGTTACTTTAGAATATTCCTTCCTGAAGTCTTTATTAAAAAATCAGTCTTTCTTTGCCTAATGATTAATAGGCATTATCTTATTATATATCTCATCCACCCTGGCTCTTCTGTTTACTGTGTGACCTTGAGCAACCTCTTCAAGCTCTTTTTCTTTCATGGTAGAATATATTCAAACTGTGTCTAAAGTATGACTTCAATTATTATCAATTGTTTACAGTGTCCGGCACAAGGTAGGTGTTTGTGTTCTCTTCCCACAGTGTCCAAGTTTAAGACATATCTCTCACAGATAATTCATGATGGAGTAGAACAGGCTGATTCCAACAGTCTTAGGGATTGAGAGTGAATTCTTACTGTGATGAAAAGCCTACTCCCTGTCTAGACTGATACTGTGTTTGTTCCTAGGTCTGTTAGACCAGATGGAGTCGTATACCAAAGTTTTAGCAGTGACCATCTCTGTAGTGATAGCTAGAAGGCAGACAGAGGGACTTTCACATTTAGTTTATATAGTTATGCAGTATGAAAATTTGTGTAATAAACATGCATTGTGTAAGTTCTTAAAATTAACTTTTGCCCTAACTGGTGTGGCTCATTTGGTAGGATGTGATCCTGTAAGGCAGGAGGTCACGCATTTGATTCCAATCAGGGCACAAGCCTGGGTTGCAGGCCTGTGTGAGAGGCAACTGATCAATATTTCTCAACTTCTTTCTCCCTCCCTTCCTCTCTCTAAAAATAAATAAAATCTTTTTAAAAAATTAAATGTTAATTTAAAAAGATTCACTGCTTCATTCACAAAATGAATCGGAGAAGAGTGGGGATCCCAAGGCTGAAGATTTTGAAGGGGACATGGTTTCCTTTCTTTAACCCTGTGGGATTGACAGCTGGGGGAGGAAATGGCAGAAGGGAGGATCCTTCCGTTGAGTGCCTTCCGGCCAGTCCCCATTTCATAATTTATTATTATTTTTTATTTTAATTTTTAAAATATTTTATTTATTTATCCTTAGAGGGGAAGGGAAGGAGAGAGGGAAACATCAATGTATGGTTGCCTCTCTTGTGCGCCCCCTGCTGGGAACTGGCCTGCAACCCAGGCATGTGCCCTGACTGGGAATCGAACCTCTATCCTCTGGTTCACAGGCCTGCCCTCAATCCACTGAGCTACACTAGCCAGGGCTCATAATATATTTAATACTTTTTATTCTCTTCTAAGAAATTCTGGAGTTCCTTCTTAAAGATAGTTATCAGTTATGACTCATTAGTCTGTAAAACTGCCAATGAACCTGAAGTGAGGAAATCTCTGTTATCTACCATAGGTAGTAGCACTGACAACTGTCTGCTGGTATCTTTACCTGCAGGTCGACACTCCATCTACTGACATAGTCAGTGAATACGAAGAGTGATGTAGAAAGCGTGGGAAAATCTCTGCCTGTTACAGAAGGATGGTGGGAAAGAACCACTGCGATCCAGTACCAGGGCAAGTGAGCAGATCGGTGCTGGGTGATTACACCTCACTGGGAAACACAGCACAGGCAAAAAACAGTCTTAAGAAGCAGAGTGACAAAACGTCAGCACGTTTCCCTTGCACAAGCTTGTCTGGAAGAGCACGACATGCACTCAGAAGTTTCCATCTTTTTGACATTTTCTTTTAAAAAATGCCCAGAAAGGTGGAAAACCATGTATTAGAACGAATTCTGTAAAAATTACAACGTGGTTGCCATGTAAAGACACCTTCAAACAATATAACATTTCTTATTTTGGGATTACTGGAAAGATCAAAGAAACATTTTTGAAATTAACTTTAGAGAGATGAAGGGGGAAGGGAGAGGGAGGAGAAAGAGAGAGGGAAAGGGAGAAACATCAACTTGCTGTTCCACTTATTGGAACAACCATTCATTGGTTGATTCTTGTATGCACCCTGACCAGGCATTGAACCCGCAACCTTGCTGTATTGGGACAACTATCTCACCAACTGAGCTACTGGCCAGGGCCAAAGAAGCAGTAAGTTACAGAAAAAATTTTAAGGCATTTGGTATTTTAACTACTTTGTGTTTTCTAAGTTTTATTTTTTAAAAGATTTTATTCATTCATTTTTAAAGAAAGTGACAGAGAGGGAGAAAGGGGAGAGAAACATCAATGTGTGGTTGCCTCTCTCACACCATCTACTAGGGACCTGGCCTGCAACCCAGGCATGTGCCCTGACTGGGAATAGAACCAGCGACCCTCTTGTTCACAGGCTGGCATTCAGTCCACTGAGCCATACCAGCCAGGACCAAAATTTTATATAAAATTAGCAATATTAACTTTTGTTCAATGTAGAAGTCTAGATATGTGCATTGAAATACTTATTGCAAGAATTACATGACAGAATTCAAGAGGAGAAAGAACCTTAACAATACTGCCTCACTCCATCTTCTCAATCACACAGACCCAGAAGGGTTAGGGGATTCTTGGGAGTCAATCCCATCAGATGCCGTTGGAGCTAAGATTACAATCCAAACCTTTCGGGTCCCAACCTCATGCTATTTCCATACAGTCTGATGACTGAGAACAGATCTTTATAAATTTGTACAGATAGCCTTTTCTCTTCCAGTATCTTAAAGTATAAATTTATAAGAGGCTTCCTGCTGGCCAACTCACACTCATCATCTGTCCAGATTTTCTTGAATAGTTTATCCACTAGCCAGGTTCCAAAATAAAGACCTTCCAGTCTCTCAAATTCCATACTGCTCACCTGGTTCTAGATCCCTAGGTCCCTTGGGTCTGCCCCACATGAATGGTACCCATTTTCTAACCTGCACCTGCAGCTCTGTCCCTGTATTTGTGTCTTGTTATCTGATCTTCTGTTGCCCACTATCCCTACACAAACATCTTCCTCTTTTGAGGGGAACAAAAAGAAGGCTTTTGATGCACTCAGTCAAGTTCCCTTACTTGGTGGTTTTCCCAGTTGCCAAATGCCTTTCATTGTGACCCTGAGTAAGAAAGTAAATTAGGACAAGGCCCAAGACATCTCCCCATCTCCTCTTGTCAGCTATAAACCTAGAACAGAAACTGTCTGATGGCTATCAGAAATTCACTCAATCACACGTCTCATCTAAAAATAAAAGCCAAATACACATTTCTTTGTTTTTGCATATATTTACAGTATAAATACTAATTTTTTTCAAAGTACATACTCTTTTAACCATTTGCAAAAGTTATGTAGCACTGGACAGCAATTTAATGTAAAGCCTCTCTAGTAGTGATTAAGGAAAAATAGAACTGTTCTGAAGATACGGGATTCTATAGAAGGAATATGAATGGGCGTGATAATCTGAACTTGCAGGGGGAACGTGAAGCAGCTCAGTCCACACTTCACTGCCAATACAGGATGTTGAAGGGCTACCATGTGAGACAGCAACCTGAAGGGGAGTTGGAAGAACTACACTTGAGACATATAAAAAAGTACACATGCTTGCATAGTGCATTAATCTTAAAGAAGCTCAACATTTCCTTCTCATTTTCATTAACTTAAATGAATAGTACTTAAAACACATCACACAGAATTAAAGACTTATGCATATATTTCAGATTTCAACATTAACGTCAAAAATACATAGTTTGATTTTACATAGGATTTGTGCTACATTAGAACACTAGAGACAAATATCACTTGAGTATTAAGGAAAACATTAAATATTAAATAACTGAGAAATAAAATGTGTAAACACTAATCTAACGAGGGTTTTGCTATTGCAACATGTCCCATGAAGTGGTTTCAACAGTACAAAAAGGCTTAGGACATGAGTGTTTCCAGTCTACTTGGAATATGTGGATCGCATTCCAGGAATCCTTTAATGAAAACTGGTCCGGGGAAACAGGAGAGGGTCCACTCTCCCGGTTGTTAATTTGGTACACTCCGTTCTACGCTAATTTTCACTTTCAAACTTGGGTACTGAGCAAATACTTGTACATTGTCAGTCCTTATCAACATCTTGGTGAAAATTGAGGGTTTGTTGGCGATTCAGTGTAAGATTTGAGTTCATATGCAGCACCGCTATCAACTTCCATTGACTTTCTAGAGAACAGGAGACGTACATCTCTATGGAGGTAGATCTTTCCAGATTTAGAACTCTGGAACCTAAATAAACAAACAAAAAGATACATTATTTAGGGAATGACTTGTTTAAAAAACCAAACTAAAACCAAGCTCCCAAATAATTAAATTTTAAAGGTAAAAAGAATTAGTCTGGCCACAGTATTACATTAAAAGTCTTCTATTGCCAAAGCAATTGTTGCTATTTAAGTGCCTCTTCCTTACTATCCCTAAACACTTCACACTCCCCTTTGCCTTGTACAATGCCAGAGATGCTTCCTTCTGTGAATTGGCACATATGAAGGGAGGATCCAAAAAAAGTCAGAATCATCTTCGAGAGGGTGTGCCCCTTGTAACACAGGCTTCCCCCACTGACTGAGTGCTCCAGGAACCCATCCGTATCAGTGTACTCGTCTGGTGTGTTGTGAGAGGCTGAGTGCGGCTTCAGTGAATTTTTTTTTTAAAGACTCTTAACAACACGTTTTCTCATTTCACAGTGGGTGACTTATGAGGACACCTGCCCACACCATACTGAGTGTTAAGCAGTTTTGACCAAAACCCCTCATACCCTACCCCTCCCTATTCACCCAGTCTCGCCCTGAGTGACATTTTTTGGTTGTTGTTTCCCAGATGAAAAAAGTCCTCAAAGAAAAGCGTTTTGCCAGTGTGGAAGAGGTGAAACAAAAAACATCAGAAGCACTAAAAGACATCAAAATTGACAAGTTCAAAAACTGTTTTGAGCAGTGGAAAGAATGTCTTGATAGGTATATTGCATCAAATGGAAATTTTTGAAGGTGACTAAAGTTTAAACACGTAAGAATACACAATTTTTTATAAATGAATTCCATGTTTTTGATTTTATACCTTTCATTCCTGATATGCACCTCTCCTCACTACAGTGTCAACTTCCAGTTCACAACAGCCAAATACACTACATTTGGGCTTTGCAGCTCTAGCATCTTTTAGCCACACAGATTGATCATTTCACACAATTTACCACCCCCCCAATTTTGAGTACATTAAAATTGATTCCACACTTGAAAAGTGGCCACTGAAGATTGTCACATTTTGAGGACAATCACCAGATGAGAAAGGACTGCTATCATCAGCAGTAGCTAAATGAAGCCTAATCACCATTAAAAATCATTTAAAAAGTTAGCAGTGAAATGAAAATGGTTATCTAAACTGTATATGGAACAGTTTCTTTCCCCTGCTAATTAATATTTATAGCATAACACAGCATTGGAATCTTTAATCATATAAACTCATATAAGCAGACAGTCAAACAGAGTCTTTGGCGCTAATTTCTCTAGTTTTCCCTTTGCATAGCAAGACAACTCTCTGGGTTTGTGTTTTTTCATTCCTAAATTAGCTGGAAAATCTGGCGGTCAGTGTGTATATTACAGCAGACCCCTGTGACTGTCTCACTCTGAAGTTTTTCTCTCTGAAGTTTTTCATTATCTCAATCTGAGGGAGAACATGGTGAGCTTTGGGAACTATGCCATACTTTGCACAGAGTTTTCTTTAGAGCATTTAAAGTATCTAATCATTAAGTAGGGACTATAAAAGCAGGGGTAGTTGATTTTTGGTAAGTGCTGGTTACCTATAGCGATGCTTATTAAAACTTCAAGAGAAATGGTATCAAATGAAAGTTTAAAGGGAGTTGAATCTTTCTCCTACATTGGGCTGGGAGCAGTTCTTATAGCCTATTTTATACCGTTTCTTTAAAAAAACCAAATCTTCCAAGTCTGTTTTGGTATATTTTTCATTCCCACAATCTGTTTAGTATTTGCAAGAGGCTCATGTCAGGTAATATGAAGTTGGGTTTAAATATATTGTGCTGGTTCAACATGTTCTTAGGCTACAGAACATCAGGCAGAAGACCCCAAGATAAAAGTACCAATTAAGCAGTGTTATGGGGGAGGTGGAGGGAACCCAATGAACTTAACAGACATTTTCCAGTACGGGACTTAACAGACATTTTCCAGTACGGGACTTAACAGACATTTTCCAGTACGGGACTTAAGTGTACAGCTGATTCCTTATGCACTCTAGAATCACCACAAAGCAAATCTACTGAAAGATAGTGGGTGGTCACCATCAGTAAGAGATTAAAGACGCCCTCTGTCTGGGCCCTGGATATAAGATGCCTTCTCCTGATGAAGAGGGCTCTTGGAATAAGGAGTTTAGCTAAGATGAATCACTGTCATTGATGTGATGGAGCACTTACTATAAATGGCATCAGAAAAATATTAGGGATAGAATTACAGGCAAAAGCCTACTGAGCTCTCACTTAACAAATAGACTTGTTCATTAATCCTGAAAGCTATTATTAGGATTTCAGGTCTTACTCTAGGATGCTGGCAACTTGGACTTCAAGGGCAAAGAAATGGTTTCTCACAACCTACAGCTGTGAGCTTGATAGTAAGAGTCAGCAAAAAAGATATTTCTAAAGGAATTACTAGAAATATAAACAGCTGTTTCCTAGTGCCTAGAAACAGGCCTAACACATAAATATTCCTGGATGAATAAATGAAGGTTAAGAACTTCCCTGTCTAATATAGCAGCCGTCAGCCGCATGTGGTGACTAAGCACTTGAAATATGGCTGGTTTAAACTAAATTGTGCTAAATAGTCCTGGCTGGGCAGTTCAGTTGGTTAGTGTCATCCTGATACAGCCAGGTTGATCCTCAGTCAGGGCACATACAAGAATCAACCAGTGGTCCCTGGCTGGTGTGGCTCAGTGGACCGAGGGCCAGCCTGTGAACCTAATGGTCACCGCTTTAATTCCCAGTCAGGGCACATGCCTGGGTTGTAGGCCAGGTCCCCAGTAGGCGGTGAGTAAGAGGTAACCATACATTGATGTTTCTCTCCCTCTCTTCCCCTCTCTAAAAATAAATAATTAAATAAAATCTTAAAAAAAAAATCAACCAACAAATGCATAAACAAGTGGAAAAACAAATTGATGTTTCTTTCTTTCTTTAAACCAACCAATAAAAACTTTTAAAGTGGCCCTGGCTGGTGTAGCTCAGTGGATTGAGTGTGGGCCTGCGAATCAGACAATCACGGTTCGATTCCCAGTCAGGGCACATGCCCAGGTTGCAGGCCGGTTCCCTGCAGGCCAGTTCCCAGCAGGGGACGCACAAACGCAACCATTCATTGATGTTTCTCTCTCTCTCTTCTTCCCTTCTCCTCTAAAGATAAATAAATAAAATCTTAAAAAAAAAAACCAAAAATCTTTTAAAGTGAATTGTCCTGTTAATGTAAAATATGTGCTTGATTTTAAGTATTTAGTATAAATAATAAAGAATAAAATATCTTATTTATTTATATTTATATTATATTTATAATAATAAAGAATATAAAATATATTACTCATAATATATTGATTATACATTCAAATTATGACATTTGGATATACTGGATATACATTTGGATATACATTTGGACTGAAATAAAATATATTATTAATCTTTCCTTTTCCTTAATATTTTAAAAATGTGGTTAGTAGAAAATATAGAACTACATATATGGCTCACATCATAACTCTATTGGACAGCAACTGGTTAATAAAATGTATCTCAGTGCCCCAGACTTAGCATTGGTTTTGATATGAAATATTTTGCATTACAGCTATAAATGAAAACCCCTCTACTTCGGGAAGCAGTAATGCCTGCAGGAGGACAGTCCATGTGGTTTCTGCATCATGGCATATTATCAGAGTTTCTGAGTTAAGCAAATTCCAAGGGATGCCAGTCTAGTCAGTGACAGTTTTTAAAATAAGCCTAAAATTTTAGAGTGGTTCTTCAGAAGTAACATCTTTATTTTCATTTCAAACATTACCTCAGATGTATGAGGTAGCGTAATAACCGTTCTTCTGTATGTCGAATGTTCTCTTTATTAACACTTCTCTTCATTTCTTGTTTAACCGGTACAGAAAAAGTTCTTTGTCGTAGGAATGTCTGATGATTGGCTGGCATATCTCGTAAGTCATATATCACAACAAACATCTTCACCACAGTCTTATTAGGATTAAATAAGGTCTGAAGAAACAATATAGAAAAAAAAATTTTTAATGGTGATTTACTGATTTGACTCAAAATGGTTGTGCCAATAAAAAAGATTTTTAAATAATAAATTCATCCCAGTAGATATAATTCAGTTTTGGGGACTAAAGTTAATGAGATTTCAAAAGTTTATGGGCTGATGCTCAATATTTTAAAAAATGGTTCAATTAATATTTTTAATAATAACATAAAATCCTAAAACAAATCTAAATCTTTAGTCACAAATTTCATATTAATAATATATAATATATAACTTTTACTTCTTGTTCATATTTTAAGAAATCATTCCACTAGATTAAGCAAAATATATCCTCATTGGATTAAAACATTCCAGTTCATTTATTTCAAAAACTAGCTTCATTAAAGTGTGCCTACTGTAAATTTCATAAAATAGAATTTTAATTTTCCTCACATCTTTATAGTGACTAAATAGAAATTTAAAAAAATAAAAGTTTGGTAAAGTTAAACCTTTTGGTGTTTTAGGTACATATGGTTATAAAATTTAAAATATGTTCTCTTGGATATTTAACATTGAAAGTGTTATTTAAAGTCATATAAGCTAAAATCTTTCCTATATTAAAAATAATTTTATATTAAAAGTAATTTTATTAAAAAATACAAATACAAATACAAAATGTTCTCAAAAAGGAGAATTTTTCTTATTTGAAATGCCTCCAAGTTTAGAAAATAAACTTAATAGTAGTTACATGTTAGACTAAATAGAACTTGGTGTTTTTATAACTGTATTCATTTCAAAAACTGCAGAGACACTTTTAAAAATTAATATCATAAACAGGCCAAAAATATGTATTTGAATTAATAATAGTTTTAAAAATACTAATTTATAAACAAAATCCCAAGCTGCTGATCTGACTTTAACCAAATTACCAACACATCAATAGGTAACTTGGTGCCCATGCTTTCTGAAGCTCATCCGTGGCACTGGACATCACTCACTGAATCAAAATGAGAAATATATCATTATCATGATCCAACTCTTTAAAATCTAGTGAGTCTAAAGATTAAGGATAATACATTCAACAAACCACACAACTACCAAGCCAGGAGTTCAAACCATGTTTACACATAATTAAATTATGTAAGAAATTAAAGACATACCTAAATTTCATATTTAAAATTAACCATTAAAGTTGGCAGTCCTCAAACAAGAGGTAAACATGCTGCCTTTGTGTTTATGCTTCATTTTATGACAATTGACAGCTAGCTTTCTAGTGACTCACACTTTCACATGAGCTACACAGCCAGAGGCAAGAGAACAAATTATCCTTTTAGTTCAAGATTTCCATTCAACATAAATTTTACTTTAATATGCAGTGATTCTTCCTGAGTAAAACTTACATATATGTACATATTTGCACAGTACTGTGCTAGTACGTTCCTGTGTGATATGCAATAAACAAACATGTAGACTCCTTTTCTGTACTGGAACAAAGGTGATGAGTAAAAGTGGTCTGATTGAAGCCAAAAGTCATAGAAAGGCTTGTTGAATTATATCAGATCCTAAGTGTGAGGAACTCACTAGATTTTTTTTTTAATTTAGCTTTATTGAGGTATAATTGACATACATCAGTGAGACTCTTTTTAATGTGCAAAGCCAACTCTGTAACAGACTTCTGGGCTTTCAAGATTATCCTGGATCTGACCTGGAGATGAATTCAGTGGCGAAGTGGCCTTTATATCAAATTACTCTCCCGAGAACCATCAACCAAGGATGATGAAGGATTGCTCTGGGCTAGAGGAGTTCTCCTGAACCCAAACGATGCCTTCTCTGCCCCTACGTCTGTCAGACTACATTTTGTGTAACCATCTCATTCCATCAGTTTAGAAATTACCCTAGGGCTAATATAATTTTGTTTCCCAAGTTGTCCTGCCAAAGCAATACAAATATTTGGGGTCTCATTTTGCATAGGTAGGTCTCAATCTGGCTTACTATTTTAAACAAAGCCCTGGTATTGTTAGGTTCTGATTTTATTGAAAAGAGCTCTATTTAAGTTCTGTAAACTGTTGTAATACTCTTTTTTCTAATGCATTCACCTTAATCAGCTTATTAATGCTTTCCTTTTATGGAGGCCCCAATGGTCATTCCTGGGGCGGAGCAGGGAAACTCCAAAGAAAGCTGCAGCCCCACTGTTACTTACCAAAGTTGTTGCAGCAGCAGTAGCAGGAGAAAGGGCTAAGTTCTACATGTATGTGAGAGAATGATTATTGCAATTGTAGGCTATAAAACACATACCACTTGTATTGTTCCTGAAGGAGGTACTCGATAACCCCTTTTACCAAGGGACTCTAAAGTGATCACACCCTTGAAATAAAAAAAGACAAATTGAGTACAAACTGATGCATATGTGTATAAAAGACTAAAATAATAATAAACCATGTAGTTACTAAAATTTCAGAATTCTATTTGTATGGAAAAACACTCACATTGCATTAATACAGATATACTCTATGAATATGAAATAGTGAGGGTCCCACTGGTATAAAAAGTTTATTTTCCTTCCCAGAGATGTTGCAATAAATATATAACATCAAATGTATAATAAATAACAAATAAATGTATCAAATAAATAACAATTATATAACATGACTACTTGAAATTTCTATTAAGATACAAGATATAGATGTAAGAAGCTCCCTGAAAGGATAAAGGGAAGTGATAGAATTATTTCCTTGTATCATGTAGGAAGAAGGAGGTGAAGAAGAAAAATAATTTTTAGTCTTTGGACATACAAAAAGTCAAGAATGTGGAAGTACCTAAGTCTTAGCCAAAAGTCCAGTCAATTCAGACATATGGATTAGAGACAGACCAGCATCATCAGCATCACCTGTGAGCTTGTTAGAAATGCAGAACTTCTGGCTTCTCCCCAGATGTACCAAATCAAGTCTGCATTTTAACGAGATTTCCCAGATGATATCATACATACATTTGAGAAGCACTGCTGGGTTATACAACATAGTTTTGTGAGAAGGATGTTCTAATCATTGCAACAGTCCCCAAATGGGAAAGAAGTAGAAATTAAAACAAGGGAAGCTTTGATTGTGTGACAATTTCTAGATAACCAGAACAATCAAGTGACAACAGGTGGTGATTGTGATACTTATGGTATTTTGCCATGTATAATGTGCAGTTTTTTTGCCTGAATTTTTGAGGGAAAAAGAAGGATATGCATTATATATGGGTATAATGATTACATACCATGGGCATAATAACTCTGTGTATAATGCACACGAAACCGTGGGTGTGCATTATATATGGCAAAATATGGTGATTCTCAGGGAGTGGTAAAAAAAGAATGCTCATTCATTTGTTTAAACTGTTAAGTTTTCTTTGCAGTAGTTAAGATAGTTAAATAGAAAAACTGTATGCTCTACATTTCATATCGCATCATTTTATGCTGTGCATGCCAAAACATGTCAACCTTATGTAAAAATAAATATAAAACAGGACTATTCTACCAGGCAACATGTGTGTGTTTGAAAGACAGGCAAGGGCAGGGGTGTGGTGGTAGGGGGGGGTAGATAAAACAGAGTGGAAAAAGAGAAAAGGAAAAAACAGACTCTAATATGGAAATATCACAACTCCAAGTGAATAGCACTTGACATCACACTGTAAAGTTAACATGTTAAATACTGGGAAATGTTCATGGAAATCGGCACTGAGAAGAAATGTGGTTCTTGACAAATATAATTTATCATATAGTCATTTAGAACATGAAAATGGCACACAGACAAACTGCAACCCTAATGAAAACAGCAACAAAGCTTTTAACACTTTCTCTTACAATCTGCTCTATATGAAAAATTCAGTGGCATATACTGCCCTTCTTCTTCCTAGTTCCAAAAAGAAAAAGTAGAATATATATATAAATAATTTTATAATCACAATGCTCCAAGCAATATATTACTATTCTTCCTTGCCACCCTCCCCTACACAAATAAAGGAAAACTGATGAAGCAAAAACTACCAGCAAGCTGCTCTGGCTGATGTGGCTCAGTGGATTGAGTGTCAGCCTGTGAACCAAAAGGTCACCAGTTCCATTCCAGGTCAGGGCACATGCCTGGGCCCGGGGCCAGGTCCCCAGTTGGGGGCATACAGGAAACACCAATTCGGCATTTCTCTCCCTTTCTCCCTCCCTTCCCCTCTTTAGTTTCTAAAAATAAATAAAATCTCTTTAAAGAGCTTTTACCAAGCCTGTATTTCCTTTAACACATGGCAATTATAATAGCTTTCAGAACATGATAATAGTAAGTAAATAAATTTACAAAGAAGAATACAGATTTTTTTAAAAAAACCTTAAAGTTTAAGGCAAAACTTATCTAAGCCATGTTAAGACCAGTATGGCATTGGTAAATTAGGAATTAGAAAGGAATTGAGAAATTATCATAATTCTATTATTATATTTTCATTATTTTAATAATTAATCAGTCAGCATATCAATATTTTTATATAGTAAAAGTTACTGTACTTCTAGCATTTGAGGATAAATAGAAAGGTTAAGATAAACTAAATTGAGTCAAATCTTATACAAAACTTATTCTCAAATTATTGTGGAAAAGAGACTATACAAAGCTAGGTACAGCAGAAAGAAGTTTATCTTGATATGGTCACTTACGAATAGAAGAAAATAATACACAACCTGTTAATATGATAATACAAGTTATACCGTGAATTTGCTACTGGCACACTTGCTTTAGACCTTCCTGCTTGGTTCCACCAGGTAATAATAGTTTCTAGACTGTGGGAAGTTGCCGTATTATACAACACTGGAAGAACAATTTTACCACTGACACCCAATTGCAGAGATACTACATGGCTTTGAGTTAATCTTCAAGGAATTATTTAATAAAAAGTCCTGTACCACTTCTACACAAACAAACTTTCTGCACTAAAACTTTACCTTTGTAAGTCATCTGTATAATTGATAATGAAAGGTCCCAAGGTCATTATTAAAATAACAAGTAGAAAAAATAAAATAAAATAACGAGTAGGAGTTTGGTGTCTGTGACATATATTATCTTATCAAAACATGATCAGTCCTTTGAAAACAGATGGAATCACCAATATGTAAGTAATATTCCCTGAAGAACAAGATTACTTTTACTAATTTACAATAGGAAAGATGTGTAGTCTAAGATTTGGACTGCATCATTTAGGAAGGAAACCCATTTCTAATGAGTACACTGACTTAGAAAAAAATTACGTAATGGAAAGTTTACTAAAGAATATTATCAGAAAAAAGTAAATTAGAGATTCTTTAAGAACAGACTAGCTTAATAACCTGATTTAAACTCTTTCTACATTTCTTCATAATCCATAACCATTTGTGTGTACTTTCTAGAGACAGAATGACAAAATCCTTTATCTCTTGATCCTTTATTTTTTAGATGTCAACCAAGGTAAGAATAAATACTGTTTTGCTTTTATAAATGACCTCTTGCTCATAAATTTCACTCAGAGATATTTACTTGAGCTGATTTTCAGCCAATTCACTCTTTTATCTTATTTCTGAGCCATCCTAATGGTCCTCTCCACTCTATACACAAATGACAGATTACAGTATTTTAGATCTTATCTTTCAATTTTCTATCACTGTGTATCAGAAGAATATGTGAAACTGATGAGACTTCTTGATGTCCTTCCTAGTAAAGCAAAATGGGCATCTTCACATTTATATTCTAATATTGTAAGCATTCCAGTTTGATGTGTTGGGAACCACCCTGCCTGGTTTCAGGAGCTGAAACATCCCATGGCTAAGGCTGAGTGAGAGACCTTAGGACCATAAGCCACTAAGGAGACAAAGCTCATCTCCCCAGCAGGGGTGCCGCTTCTGCTCCTTTTTCCCTTACTGGCCCCCAGTGCTCGATCAGTTAGCCAATGATGGGTAAGATTCCCCAAGGGGGGAACCACCTAGGACAGGCATGATCATGTGGAGGCTCCAGGGAAGGACTTGGAGGGTACGGAGAAAGGGGGTGATGGACCCTCCCCCCCCCCCCACTTTAATGAAGTCTGAGTCCACAGTCTGTCTGCAAGAAGTCTCTGAGAATTCTCTGGATATCTGCCTCCTCTGCCTGACTTAAGCCTGAGAACAATGACAGAGGGTGGTGCAGACTTGTGCTGGGAATGGTGGGTTCCCCGGTAATCAGGCATAAGAAAGAATTCCCAAAGTCCTGTGAAGCCTCTTTACTGAGAATGCTTCCATTCATATGATAAGGGTCTGAGCAGGAAATGAGTATGTCTCCCAAAGTTTTTGCAACCCCCTTACCTGACAGACACTGACTCAGATTAAGCCCTCAGATTTCTTTGAAATGTTATCTACTGTTGATCCTTGCTGCCTGTATTCCTGTGTATTACAACCCAATAAAAGCCCCTGGAAGAAGGGGTTCCTGGCCCTTTCCCTTTGAAGGATCAGCCACCTTTCCTCCCCAAGCAGATCATGTCTTGGTAGTGTTTACTTTCATCCGTGGCAGACCGGGGGGCAGGGGGACGACTTGCAGGCAAAGATGCCCCCACAATGATATACTTTTATCCTGATACTGGACTTATCTCAAGGGGTACCTTCCATTATATTAATTACCCAAAATTAGCAGCTATTTTTTCCCAAGAATTATAATAGAAAAGTGTATACCTCTTTCTGCGGTAAACAAATAAAATTGGTGGCTTATATGATATGGGCAGGTTTGTAAAGATGTGGGCCTTGTTTTTCATAATAACCAAAGTTGTGCATCATTGTGATTATGATCCACAAGTGTACATATTATTGGGAAAAGAAAACTTTGACTAAATGAGCAGACACCAGCATGCCTTTTCTTTCTATCAAAGTATGAAATGCTGACCAGGATCTTGAGTAACATGTTCACCTTTAGAATGGAGTAAGGCTTTCTTGAGCAAACTGTGCCAATAATGAATAAGCTATATCAGGTCCCTAAAAAAGTAAAACTTTCCTTTCTCTGTTATTTCTTAATTATGTCAATTCCCTTTTCTCAACTTTTATTAGTAACAAAAAACAGTTATTAATGTCCTTGAAAATCTGAAAGATGGGGGAGAGGAAGCAACTGGGCCAGGTGGTAGCTGGAATATTCAAGTAGCAAGATGAGAGCTGTATGTTTCTGTGTCTGCAGCAATATATACCTCGGACTTCTCAAACTAAGACTAAACATGAAAGCCCAGCTCTACCTCTATATTCGATACTGTCCCTATAAACCTTTGATAGACTTACATTGCTAGCCACTTCTCCCTCTTTGTATTTTGGAAAAGGGCTGACACTAACCATACTCTAGGACTCGGTACCATTTTTGCAGTTGAAGGCTTATTTTATCCTTAATCCATTGGAATAAAAAATGGGAAAGATGAAATCATAGGATTATAAGGCTTAAAACTGTGCTCTAATTCCCCTTAGCTATCTTACTTTCTAGTAAAACATTTGTACACAGTCAGAAATAATATTCTAAAGAACCCTAGAACTAGAATAAACTGGTCCAAAGACAAACCAAACAGGACAAAGTGGGTAAATGGGCCTCAGAGCAGCCTCGGTCACCAAACGTTTACCTAAGCTCCACTGAGATGAGGATCACATGTGAAGGCAACCCTTGTGGGAGCAGAGTGCCCAGTGAGCACTTGAGAATTTGTGTGAACTCAGAAAGATAAGGCTTTATAGCATCAATCACTAATCAAATTTTTCGTTATTTCTTCAGATCACAGAGAAACAATTTTCAGCACCACTGTCAAATGCAAAAGAGGGTATCTATTTTTAGAGCTAGCTCAGAAAGAAGCTGTGAGGTAACATTTTGCTTGGTATAGTCATTAGTCTCTATTCAGCCCTCAATTTTCTCTTACTTTATATTTTCAAGCACTGCACCAAAGCAGTCCCTCAATCTCCCTGAACTTAATTGAAGACATCTGTCATTAAGCTGGTTGATTTTAGCAGAAAAAGACAATTTTAAAAATACTTGCCATATAAGGAGAGGGAGCATTATCATCTGAAACACTGTAGAATGACACTTCAACTGGAAGAATCAAGTGTGTGGGGCAGAAGACACCACTAGCCCCGACCTCGGCAGTAAAGCCATCAACAATGCCGAGAGGATCTAATCGATAGTTCAAGACTGATTCCTGGAAGACAGATTAATTTTTGAGGTGTAAGTTTAAACAGTTAACTCATTCATTCTGTTTTCTATTTAAAGAAATACATCACTATGCATTCTGGCATTGGAAAAGAGGTTGCTCCATTGTCATGTCCTCATTTTAGATGTTCACCTGACCTGAAATTAACCATCCCCCCAGCAATCTTCTACCATCCCATAAAACTTGGCCTCCTTTCACTACTCCAACCCATGCTCAACTATCCCTGAATTTCACCATTAGTTAGACCTGATTGTTTAATATATTATTCTTTTCTCTGTAAATATAATATACTTGACCAGAGCAGGTATAGATAGTATCAGAAATTTTATAGAGCCTATACATGGTGCTAGGTACAGAGAAGCACTCAAAGCTTGTTATTAGGTCATATACTAAAGTTCCATCAAAAGAGAAAACCAAATACTTATAACTTTTAACCAAGAAATAAATATGTCTTAAGGAAAACTTAGAAGTACAGAAATATGAACAGCAGGGAAGATGCTTATCCATCTCTCCCAAGCTCACTTGTTGAGATAACCATTCTAACAATTTACTGTTTATCTTTCCAGGTATAAGAAACATTTCAGCCCTGGTTGGTATGGCTCAGTGGATTCAGCACTGGCCTGCAAACCAAAGGGTCGCTGGTTCGACTCCCAGTCTAGGGAACATGCCTGGGTTGTGAGCCAGGTCCCTAGTAGGGGTTGTGCGAGAGGCAACCACATATTGATGTTTCTCTCCCTTTCTCCCTTCCCCTCTCTCTAACAATAAATGAATAAAATCTTTTTTAAAAATCAACCTCCTTGATCATGAAGAGGCTACTATCAGTACACCATCATCTTTCCTAAGTATCAGAGCCAATTCTATCAGGTAAGGAGGAGAGTCAAGTCTATCCTGCAGCTATAGTAACAGACACCTCAATCCAACCTGATTTCATCCAAGTCCTCTGTCTCCTTTACAAGCTACCCAATTCTAAGACGTCACCACTAGCAACTCTTCCAACTTCATTTTTAATGAATACAGGAAGAAAGGAAAAGAAAAAGGAAAGAAAGGTGATTTCCAGACTTTGAAAAATACAACCCATTTATTTATTTTTCTTTCATAAATAAATGACATAAATTATACCCTGGATCTAGCATAAGAAACTTCAACTCTTAAAATAGTTCCAAAAAAAAACATACCTCAAAATTTCCTAGGAGACTAAGACTTGTTATAGGTGGAGCACTAGAACTCAGGAATGGTTTTTCATGAATTTCTGGATCATCTTCAATGTTTAAACATGGTCGGGAACTAATAAAAAAAATCAGCAAATGGACACATTAACTACAATATTTTCTAATTTACTTTTGCCCCTAATTTAAATTAAGATAATCCAATTAATTTAATTACACTGCCAAAATAAAAATTAATGTAAACAAAATTTAAGATACAAAACATCTAGTTTTACATTCCTGATTAGATTTTATAATTAATGTTATAATATTTAATAAAGAAAAATATTAACATCCAGGAAGGTTGCATGGTGGAATTTATAATATACCACATAGTGGCATCTAATACTGGAAATATATAATAGTTTAATCTTCTTCATCAGTCTTCATTTTCAGTTAAAACTGAGAACACAAAGCCAAATTATGTGACTCAAGAATGACAGTATTATATGTCTATGTGGAATAAATGCTGAGGCTTTTTTGCAAAGGGGTATAGGGCAAAAGAGGAGGTGAATGACTGAAAATACACAAACCCACCTAAATATTAAAACCAATAATAAGTGTTTGTTCATTATGATGACCATATGTAGTATTAATTTCTCCTTAACTCATCCTTAGTAGCTGTGTGTGTGAAACGGATTAAAAATGAAAACCAATTGGAAAATAAGATTCCTGTCAAATTTTTGTACTTAGAGGCAACATTATTTACTGTAAAAGGTCAGAATTTTGTGTAATACTATTTCATGTACACAAATAAATTTTAAGATAAATACCTTCTAGATGATAAGCTTTTCAGATGCAGTAATGAAGAATCCAGATCAAAGCAACCTGACTGTGTCTTTCTTTGAGGAACCTAAGGTCAAAATAATCATTTGTGAAATTTATAAACGTTAATTTTTTCTTAAATTGATACCTAATTGTATTTTAAAAATAAACTTTTCTTGTCACAGCTTACTTAAAATCATGCTCTTTATTACATACTGTTTTAATGTTATTTTATTAATTAGCATGGAAAAACATGATTAATAAAGGCAATTTTAGTAGGTTTTGATTTTTTTTAAGAAGCAAAACCAGTTTTTTCTAAACTCAAACCCTACACGGAATCCCAGTATATAAGACGTTTTTACTTTATATATTTGTATATTGTGGGAGCGGAAATAAAAGATTTATAGCTTTAAAATAAAAAGGAAAAACGGAATTAGATGGCCATGGGAGGCTGGGCCCCCTCGGCAGTGCGGCTCCTCGGCCACACCCACAACACCACACGTTTCCGGGAGCCCTGGGCCTTCACGGACGGAAGATTTAAAAAATACTACATCTGGAGTTTGAAGTACCAAATGACACTTAGGACAAACCACCATTTAATTCAAAATATCCTAAAAACGAAAGACCCAAGTGTAAATTAAAGGTAAAATTATATACAACATGCAAATTAGATGTTTCTGGAATTCATACTAAGTATGTATAAGTATCTGCGTGATCAGTGTACAAGTGGTGAGTAAGAAAAAGCAGACGCTACTGAAAGTCTAAACAACCTCAATGTTTTTGAGTTGTGAGACTACACCATGCTAGTCTTTGTAGTCCGCGCTTAATATGAAATTTTCTATCTAAACTCGTCCTTCGATTCTGCAAAGGTCTCTACCTTCATTTCTTCTTTTTTTTCTTAAATGAAAGGATTAACACTTTTAGGTACTGTATCTTTAGTAATTTAACAGGCTCACTTTAAAAAAAAATATTTTATTTATTTATCTTCAGAGGGGAAGGGAAGGAGAGAAGGAGAGAAATAACAATGTATGGTTGCTTCTCATGGGTCCCCTGCTGGGAACTGGCCTGCAACCCAGGCATGTGCCCTGACTGGGAATCGAACCGCAATCGTGTGGTTCACAGGCCCGTGCTGAATCCACTGAGCTACGCCAGCCAGGGCTTTCTACCTTCATTTCTTCTAATACTGCATTTTCCTTATTGCATCCAGTCCTTCTTGTGGCATTTTTTACTAGACTTATATTGAGTCTCACTTTTTATCCCCCATGGTTCCTTCATATTGTACTATACTGCTCCCTTTCTGTACATCACTCAAACTGCCTTCTTAATATCTGTCTAATCCATTCACTACATCTCTAGTCTGTTTAATCCATCGACATGTGTATGCACACTTGTGTGTATACTTCAATTATAACATTTTTCACATTTAGAATTCCTATTTAGTGAGTTTTTCCCCCCAAATCCACAAGTTCTCTCATCTTAATCTGTCTTTACCTTATTTATATCTTGGAACATTTTAAACAGAATTATTTTTTATTCTCTTTCTGGTTTCTCTGATAACAGAATTCCTAACTGTGAATTCTCCCACTCCTTGATTCTGCCGATTCTTTACGGTGTGTTGTAATGTTTCTCCTCTGAGGTTATCTTCAGCATGAGTTATTTCCCATGAAAATAAATCCTTGGTGCCATGGGTTACAGATGTGGGACAGTCTCATGGTTCTGCTGCTGGGACTCAATGGATTTCATGTTTCAATTTAGTTTATGGTTATTTCTTCTTAGCTAGATGTTTCTGAACCTCATAGCACAAATTCAGAATTCCTACCATGGGTGGCTTAGGTTTAAGTCAAAATTCTTTTGGGGGCTCTTTCCTTACCCACTATGTACCTCCCTGTTGTACCCTTAAGTAAATGGGTGAATTTTTTCCTCCTGTCCTATTTCTAGAAGGGTAGTTCACCTGTTTCTAGTTTTATGAAAAGTTTGGTTTTTTGGTCCCACCTTTGACTGGAGCAGACTTGTGGCCTTGACTCCTATCCAAGCAGGGGTATTAAACCCTACCACTGCCTTAAGCTCAGATATTCCAGTGGGCCATACTTGTTCAAGTTAGTATCCAGAAGTTTACCTTTATTCCTCTTATATTATATTATGTATTTATGAGTTATGTTTTTATCCAGGATTTCTGTGTTTGGGAAGGAGAAGGGGGCCTTCCTGTATCGACTCAGTCCACCATATTGAATAGAAGTCTATAATGTTCTTCACACCAGAATGATGCTAATAAATGATAAACAAACACTTTAGATATCTTCAAGTTCTCAACATGGGATAAGAGAAAAATACTTACAGGACTTGACAGAAGAGGCAATCCAGTCCGAGGATGAAAAGCCCTAGTTGAGGTTCCATCCAAGGAATGAAAATTATGTTTCCGCCAGACATTTGAATGTTTCAGTGGAACAGCCCTCTGCTAAGAAAAGAATTAGATTTTAATGGTAGTATTTTTTAATCTTAGACTTAGTGCTTTTTTAAAATTCTAATTTTTCCATTGCTATTTATCCTCCTTATACCCTTTTCCACCTCCACCTCCTCCCCTTAGCCTTATTTCTAATATGCACTGAGGTATTACATCCTTGGTAGTAAAGTTAATGATCTGTATCTATATTTCTACACCCTCCCCCCACATACACACATGTACACAGAAAACACTAAGTTTTTTCTCAGATGCTGAATAAACTCTAATATTCTAAAGGAAGTATGTTCAAATATTTTATCAACATATGGTCATATACTCAAATTCTAGCATCTAGTAAGCTAATAGTTGATTCTTTTCATTTGTGAAGAAACAAGTACTGACAGGCAGAAAAAAATGGCATATTCTAAAATACAAAACTGTGGCAATGTCAAGGGGCATTCTCAGAGGATGTAATTTGGAGGGGCATGATACAGCAATATAATAAACAAATTTTTTTCTAAATATATTTTTAAATTATTTATGTATTTATCTTTAGAGGGGAAGGGATGGAGAGAGGGAGATAAATATCAATGTATGGTTGCCTCTTGTGTGTCCCCTGCTGGGAACTGGCCTGCAACCCAGGCATGTGCCCTGATTGGGAACTGAACTGTGATCCTTTGGTTCACAAACCCGTGGCTCAATCCACTGACCTAGACCGGCCAGGGCTAAATATAAATTTTAAAATATATCTAATGTTGTCATAGTACCATATTTTTGAAGTGACAACAGGAAATAGGCTAATTCTTTAAAATGCAGACAGGTTTATCCCCAAAGATCATAAATTTAAAAACACCACATAAATAAAAATCAGAAAAGTCTAATCTGGATCCTGGCTCTACCATTTACTAGCTTTGTGACCCTGGGCAAGTTACTAAAAGTCTCTGGGCCTATGGTCTTCCTTTGTAAACTGGAGTTAATAACAGAACATAACACCGCATCATGAAATAGAAAGATTAAGTAAGCCAACGTGGGTAGAACACTCTGAAAAGTGCCCAGGCAAAACAGTAAATACTGTATAACTAAATATTTAATAAGTGCATGAATAAAATGAATCCTAGTATCTTGAAAAATACCATGGCCAATGTAAGCCTCCCTATTAGGTTCCAGAAAGGATAATGAAAACTGATATTCTTAAGGCCAGTGTGAGTTTTTTAACAATTATAGTATTAAGAATTAGAAATTACCATTTGGTAAAATTCATATGTTAGAGAGATGAGATCTTCTGTTAAAAAATATAAATTAGAAACCCAGTACAATTTAAAAAATCTACTATCAAAACAAATATAGGTAACAAAGAAGACAAACTAAGGTCATTCAGGTATGACTCAAGGCATTGCCTGAGGGAGTAGGGGGTGCTGTCTGGAGGGGGGCAGAAGGGTAAATCTGGACAGCTGTAATAGCATAATTAATAAAATATAATTTAAAAAATTAAAATTAAGGAGTCTCGGGTTTTTAGAAGTTATGTGACTTATTTAGGGTCACTCAAGGACCAAACTGTGAAGTCAAGACTAGAACCCCGGTATTTTGACCAACAGCCTAGTGATTTCACTATATTCCTAAAATCCTTAGCTGAGCTGTGGCATAACACAATGGGTCCACTGCCAGAACAACTAATAAATAATACATTAAGTTAAAATAAATTTTGTTTCTGACTGATTTACTCTCCAGCAACTGTTCACAAAATTGAAATGAACAACAAATGGTAATAGGAAGAATTTACCTAGCATCTGCTCTTAAGCGAGTGGTTATCTGCAAGGATATTAATACTAGTTCAACAGCAGTTTTATTATTTCTGACTATATGTTATATAAATAATGAACACCTGGGGCCTTAATAACTAGACCTCTTATAAATAAAATTCAAACCATAATAGATATTTAAGAATTATATTTGAAATATATTACCTACCAACACCTCTGGATTTTTCAGTCGTTCACACGGAGACAAATAGTCTTTTATACTCTCTCTCTGACAACAGTTTTGAAATTTTCCATCAGTTGGATCTTCCTTCTTATCCTGCTCATTTTTCAATTGGTCTGGCTTTTTGCATTTGAAAGCTTCATTATCTTTATTGAGATAATTTTCTATACTATTAAGTTGCATATTTTGCTCACATCTTGTAGGCCTTTTTGAGTCATTATGTGAACACTTGTTTTCATGTTTTTTCAAATATCCAGACATTTCCAATGTAGTAATTTTTATTTTTGAGTCATTAGTTTTAGAATTATCAGATTGGTGATTGTTAAAAAATTCTGGATTACAATTTTCAGGTGTTTTTGTTTTTTCTTTAAACTTATCTGTGCAAATCTGTTTGTCAATACTGTTGCCATTTGAATACCGTTTATCATTTCCATTGCTAATTTCATGCTCCCTAAATTGACACTCAGAAAGAGTATTTTTCAATCTGATTGTCAAATCTAAGTTATCTTCTTTGCAATGAGACATATTTGAGGGAGCCAATAAACTACTGGCTCTGTTCGGTATGCCTTGAAATGTACTTTGGATGACTTCACTAGGATTGTCCTGATGCAGATTTCTTCTTATTTGAGGTTTCAAAGAGGACTTGACTTTACTATCGCATTTAAAAGGACTAAAAGATTTAGTAGGTATTAAGTTTTCCCCTTCATTGCAGTCTTCTAACAAGGAAACTTTTGTATTAGAAATGGAAACAGAGGTGTCACCCTTGTTCTTCTTCAATAAATTTTTGTCCTCATATGAACTCCTAAACACTTTAGAAGGAACCAAAGTAGAGTCACGCATGTTGAATGACTGCGAGGGCACACGGGGTGCCGTTGGATCAATATGCTCCAAGTGATGAGCAATCCTTGCAATAACATCTTGCCGCTCCTGGAGTAGTGAGCCTATTAAAGGGTTAGTCTCACCAACAGACCGATGAGAATAAAAACCATTAGAAGTACAAGTTTCATTTCGGGGAATTTCTGGTTTTACTTGGATTTTCCCCTCATTGGTATCTTCTGAGGAAGTAAGCTCTGGACTGTCAAATGAAATACAGAAAGTTTCTTTGAATTTTCTCACATTTTCATTTTCTTGTGAAATTCGAAGTTTTGAATTTAGTGAACTAGCATCTTGAGTGTTAAATGCATGTCCAGAAACATGTGAATTGCTTGGATCACAATGAATCAAATGCTGAGCAATTCTTGCAATAACATCTTGTCGATCCTGAATTAAAGAGTCTATTAAAGGATTAGTCTCACCAACTGACTGCCAGGAACTCTGATGACCACAAACACTGGAATCAATCACTGAAAATGACTTTAAAGTTCTCACTGATGTTTCATGTGACTTTTTATCTCCTATACCGCTGAAGCCCAGAATATTGGCTTGACAAGTTCCATAGTCTGATTGTCTGCCAGTGCTTGGATATAGTTTGCCATTTTTGACAGCTGCAGTATATTCTGGAGGTGTGCCATTTTTTGCATGCAGTACACTTTCAGGTGCCATGGTCCAAGTTGGTTTGCTACACAGACGCTGTAAACTGTTTGTACTACACTGCTCTGCTTCGTTAGAATTGCGGTGCTGATGAGCCTTAAGTTCATGTTCTTGAACTCTCTTCTCATAAAGGCCAATATTACTGTGAATACTACACGTCAAAACTGGGTAATTAGATTGTCTGGGCAAGGACTGAACGCTGACTTTCAAGGCCACATTGTGAGAAACATTGGGAACAGGAAACACATGTTCAATTGGTGTCTGTGAAAAATTCCACTGTAGGTCTACATCAGCAGCACTGATTCTAGAATAATAGAGAAAAATATGGAATCAGTGGGTCATAATATATGTATCATTATATTAAAAAATTTTAAAGTCATATACTCATCTTTGTTTGCATGAATTACTAATGAGGTTTTACTTTTAGCTATGTTGTCATGCAAATTATTCTGATAAAAATCAACATAAGAAGTATAGCAGAGTATGATCTTCTTAAGAATACTAGACCAAGCACTAAAGCTCAAGAAAATTATAATTTCAAAGTATCTGTCAAAACAGAAAAAAAGGACTTTGTATTTACCACTAAATAAATGGATTTAGCAAATTTTACTGTGGGAGGTGATTAAGAAATAACTCTATCTCATGGTCACCTACCTAAAGAGACAACTCAGCAGTTTGTATGTTTATAGTTATCAAAATGCCAAAAATTAAGTCTTCCATTATGGAAATTGAGCAGCCCAAAAAGTTTTTCTACTTTATTTATAATGGCAGCACTAAGTCCATTGTTGGTTCTATAAAGTAAGCATATAAGTTCCCTGAAAAGTATTCCACACCAAATTTAATCTATGAAACTAAATTCATACTTACTCACATCTATGTTTTTCTAACTTGTTTTGAGAAAAATGTCAGTAAATTTTATCTTCTTATATTTAGAAATGAAGGAAATATGTAATACTTAAAAGGTAAAATGTCATTCTGTAGCTAACCAATGTAGCTGAGTACATGGCCCTTTTTGTGCCTACACATACCTATAAAGAATATTCCGTGGAATAGCACCGTGAGAAACACTCAGCCAAGCACTTAATTGAGAAAAAAACACAAATGAGCGGACAGCCAATAGAAGAGTCTTCTCTTCAATAAATCGATCACCATTCCTAAGTAAACAAAAACAAACACACAAAAAAGACAGAAAGAAAAAATCACGTAAATACCAGAATGTACAAAATGTCTGAATTTTAGAAAGACAGAAGCTAGAATGAATGTATCACTCAGGATGCCTAATTTCAAGAGTGTAGGAGTGGATTTACCAGTGTCGCTTAAAGTTATTATTAGTACTAAATATCTAGGTTTTACTACATAAATAGAGGGATTCTGAAATAGGATATATTTTTAAATAATTTATAAAAAGTTGTGGAAAACCTGATTTACCAAGAAGAACTTCAAACTCAGTTTTACAACTTACTGTCGAGGAACTGGCTCCAATACCCATCTTTCTAATAGTAATGCATCTTGCTTAATTGCGGGATCGTTGAGGTCAATCCCATCTGTGGAGGGCCCATCGTCGCTGTAACAGCAGTCTGGCAGGAGCATCACTTCTACCATGATTGGAAGGTTTTTCTTCCACAACAGCGCGACCTCAGACCTGGTTCGTCTGGCTTGGCGACACTTAGAGAAAATGAATATAAGCAAAATGTCTTAATAACCCCCACGATTTTATATTTTAATTTGAAAATTATAATGATAAAGCACACATCTGTATGAGAAATGAGTCATCAGTTGTAGAACTTGCTTAGACTTCTCCATTTATGAGTAGGTTTCCTCATTAAACAATGAATTCACAGTAGTAGGCTTGTGAGTGTGAGGATTAGTACTGAACAACATTTACGATGCAAACTTTCTTGGGCGGTTATCTTTGCTGTATCGCATGCAAGGTGGCCCAGCCTTGCCTAGTTTGTTAATTACATTATCATTATAAAGGAGATTCATGCTAAGTGAAGACCAAAATATTAAAAACCCATTTTCATTAAATGCTCACTATATACAAGATTTTTAAAGTTTTAGACTATATTTAAGAAACTGAGAGACGTATCCTTACAGCAAATTATACACTACTTACCAAAATAGTTTTAACAGTATTTTATACAAAGACATTAAGATGATAACAAAAAATGTATCTTTAAAAGGAATACAGAGGGAAATTGGTTAATGTGGGGAAAATAATTATTAACATCAATCTATTAAACAGGAACATAGAGTCGATGATCCAGGGCTGAGATTCGAAAAATAAAAAAAGGTGAATCACAGCAGCAAATATAATCTTAAATCTGGTGTGTGAGAAGGCAGGTACCAAACTGGCTGCCGAAAGCCTGGTAATCAGCAAAACTATCTACTGTGCCTTCAAGAGTCTCGTTTTAGAGTCAAGGTTATTGGCTATGGTTCAGAATGAGGATTTTTCTTTATGGTTGAGACTTATTTTATACTTAAATGTGGGCATTATAATTGCAGTGTAACAAAGGTGATGACAGAATTTATGTAATTTATATAAAAGATAAATAAAAAGCATTCAACACATAATCTTACCTGGGCCAGCTTGTCACTACATTCATGTTTGGTAGTTACTGGGTAACAGGACTGCGCTGGAGGGCAATGGAAGCTTTCTGAGCGACCTTTTACAGAACATTCGGGTGTTCGCCCTTCTGTTATTAACAAGGCCAAAGAGATCAAGAACTCCTCTGCATCATATTCAAAGTATTCATCTAGTGTATCTGGTATTAAAAAACACAAAAAGAAAGAAGAGCCTTCACTTCAATGTACTCTTGATAAGAACTCGTCTTTTGTGTCTAAAGTAACTGTCACATATTCAAGTATATTCACTAACAAAGAGTGAAAAGAGAATAAAATTGAGACAATTAAAATATGATAAACTCTTCATTCAAAAGGTACCACAGAGTCAGGTGATGATGAATAATACAACATCCCAGTTAAGATAAAGCTGGTAAAAATTATGGCATAAATTGGTTTTATGTAAACTTCGGTTAAAATACTGAAGATTAAAAAATATATTTTTTAATTCTATAAATAATTGTATGTTTACAGGTCAAGTACAACAATTTTCACACACAAAAGTTCACCAATAGCCAAAGCTCAAAATGTTTTATGTCATATTTTTAGCTAAGATGTTTTATTTTTATTATTGTAATAAATACCAGAAAAAGATACAGATCCAAATTGTATGTTTCTCCCTTCTCCCTTCCTTGACTAGTTCCTTGTTCTTGCAGCTCCAATTCTATAACGTGGCCATTCATAGCCTTTCCTATACAGTAGTAACAGTTTCAGAGCGAGAAATGCTATAATTATCCAGCAGGAGATGCAGGCCTAAACTACAACATATGAATTGTGATTTTTTAATACTATGTAGTTCCAAGCAATCTAACCTGCAGATATTTTCACATATTTGTAGTAGTTTTTAAATTTCTCACAGGTGCTGTAATTTTTTTAAAGTTTATTTTAAAAAATTTTAACCTGCCTCAATTTTAACAGGTTGAGCATGCATACACATATACACACTAAATTCAATTTGTTGTGCAATTCAATCAAGCAACACGTTTTTAAAAAATCCTCATCCAAGGATATGTTTATTGATTTTAGGGAGAGAGAAAGGGTGGGGGAAGGAGAGAGAGAGATAGAGTGAGCAAAAGAGGGAGAGAGATGGAGACATCGATGTAAAAGAAACACCTATCAGTTGCCAGGACAGGGGACACACCAGGATTGGGGATTGAACCTGGAACTGAGGTGTGTGCCCCAACCAGGAATTACATTCACAACCCTTTGGTGTACAGGATGATGCTCCAACCAAGCCACCCAGCCCAGGCGAAGCAACACATACTTCAAGTACCTACCACATTGTACTAGGTCATAGGGGCACAAAAAGTTATACTTTACATAGCTCCTCATCTCAAAGGCTTTATGATTCAGAGATGATATTTAAACAAATAGAACACTGCAACATTTAATATATTCCAAAGAAATTTAGGTAACAGTGGTAAAATTTTGCAAAAGAGGTAGTTGCTGAGCAGAACCATGAGAGAGAAAGTGCAACCTGAGTGGAAAATTTGTATAGAGAAAATGCGGAAAAGGCAGGACTAGAGCTGGACTGTAAATAGCCTTGAAAATCATCTTGAAGAATGCCTACTTGGAGAAGGTCTATCAGGAAAAGAATGAGCCTTGAAAGCCTACTTTTTGGAAAAGTTTCCATGCATTGACCATCTGTAACACATAAAATAAAAGCTAACAGTAACACTGTCGAAGGCATTGCCAGTTTTAAGTACTTTCTATACAATAACTTCATTTTGTCTTTGGAATAGCTCTAGAAGGTGAGAACTACCACCACCATTTTACAGAAAACTGAAGCACAGAGAGGTTAAGCAACCTGTGCAAGATCACTGAGCTAAGAAGTAGCAAAGTTGGAATTTTAACCTATACAGTCTGGCTCCAGAATCTGGGCTCTTAACCACCCCATACATGTCTTCTTTCATTGTAGCTATAAATTTTGCTTTTGCATGCTTTAATCTTATGTTTGTAAAATATAAATAATATATATTCAACATATATATATATAATAATATACTTTGGAATATTTGTGGTATAGAATTACAACATTTTTTGGACTGTAAGATGCACTTTCCCTCAAATTTGGGAGAGGAAGGGGGTGTGACTTATAGGCCAAATATAGCTTTACATTTACATTGGTGAAATATTGTGTTATTTATGTTCTTAAATATTTTACCACATTTTTTGCTTTAAAATTTTTTCCCCTATTTTCCTCTAAAACCAAGGTGCATCTTATGGTCCAAAAAATATGGGTAGTTTCCAGAAATAGCACCCTAATTTATAATAATGTGCCAATGAGGGAATAAAAAGAGGTCTCAACTTTCAACTCTCCTCCAGGAACCAATGAGGCCATAAATCAAGGGATTCCTGTGTTCTCCTGGGAATCACTGAATTAATCATGATGTCCTTCAGAGCGGAGCAAAAGATGTAAAAAAGGATTCCACTCAGTTTCTTTCTCTGGTGGTCCTGCAGGTTTTCAGGTCTAGCTCCGGCTTGCCATGGGCTACGTGGCATGATTTCAGCTCCTGGGATATTTCTATCCTGTTCCTCCCCTCAGTTTGTGGGATAACCCCACGGAAGACCAGTGGCTCCTGACCTATGGAACGCTGAGTGATGCCGAGTTGTTAGCTACTCTGTGTGAGTGCTATGGATGAATGGCCCACCGTCTAAGTAATGTCTCATTCACATGCAACTTAAAAAAAAACAAAAAACGCCCCATGGTATTTCTTCTGCTGAGAAAAAAACAACCAGGTCAGATTAGGAAGCAGGGAAAGGCACATAAAAAAAGGAGTATGAGAGAGTGTTTTTGTTGTCTGTGGGGCTATCAGGACCCTATCACTTGTTATCCTTATACCTGCAGAACTATTAATTCATCTCCAAAAGCCTAGCAGGAATGGCTTACTTATATCCTAGGAATCAAGTTTAAACAGATAAAAACTGAACTGTTATGAAAAAAGCACTTTTGCCCTGGCTGGTGTGACTTGGTAGGGTGTCACTCCGCAAACTGAAAGGTTACAGGTTTGATTCCCAGTTAGGGAACATGCCTGGGTTGCAGGATTCATCCCCTGTTGGGGTGTGTGCAAGAGGCAACAGATACATGTTTTTCTCCCTCTCTTCCTTCTTCCCTTTTCCTCTTTCTAGAATCAATAAGAGAAAAATAAAAAGAAAAGATAAAACACTTTTGAATAATATAACACCTGACTAAAATTTGGTTGCTTTGCTCATTACTCAGGTAGTAAAACTAAAAGAACTCTAAAATCAGGATCTGAGATACTTACTGAACTTAGCCAGAGTAGTGAATACTTAAATAAAAATTGGAAATAAAGATTAGAGATGACAGTAGTTATCTATTAGTTATGCACGTAAGTTACAATAAGCATTTCAAGGAACAGTATGAATTATACAATGGTATTATAAAACACATAAAACACTACTTAAGTGCCTGTGACTATGTGATAAGAAGCTTATTTGCCAGAAAAAAATTGTGGGTGTCTGAATTTTAATAAATGAAAGTACTAAACACCATAGTCATTAGAAAAGTTTCACAGTTAAAATTTTGATAATGTCAACTCTAAAACACTTAAGAGCAGAGTTTACTGTAGTCAAGAATATGAATAGCAACTGGGAAATATGTCATGCAAATTCAATAGATATAACTTGATATTTTGATACATACCTTACTCCAGAAATAAGTTACAGTTTTAGCGTCTCTGAGAACACATTACTTTTACTAAAACAAAAAATGTTTCAAATCTAGACAAATGTTGCAGGGCTTAGCTACTTAGTTATACATTTTACAACAGATAAATTATTCAGTGTAAAACACAACAGTGAAGAAAACAAAGAGTGTTATAAATTTTCACAGGCTGTGAAAGACAGAGCATTGAAGACTGGGAATTAATCAATCAAAACATAGTTTCAGAGTGCCTCTTCCTCTAAGACCTCCGTGAGATTGTGCTTACAGCAGTTTGACTGGGAGCCATGACTGGATTTGCTGGGGTTTTTTTTAGTGGCATGCTCTTCTGGCTCTGGAGTTTAGCCATATTCTTAAAGTTCCCCATTTTTTCTGTCCAACAGAAAAGATGAACAATTTGGTCACTGGAAAAACTTCAAACAACCAGAGTGATCCACAGATGAAATGACTAACTTGGGAAGTCAATTCTTCATTGTGGGCGTTCAAGGACAGGCTGATAAACAATTGCCAGGGGTGTCACTGAAGGGATTTTAAATATTTATATAAGTTTTAAAAATTGGAATAAGCTTAAATGTCCAATAATATGGCACTGGCTAAATATGTGTGGTAAGGTTATCTCTCAAATAATGATATAAATCTATTAGATATCTATAACGTAAGTGAAAACACAAGGTTTTATAACAATGTTACATCATGCATTTTGTGGAATCATATACACGCACAGAAAGATATAAATACAGCAGAATATTATCAGTCCCATAAAGCAAACACAAACTAAATTTTAAATAAATTACTATTCTCAGACTAGGATTAGATAAATAAGGCCTATCCACTGGAAAAAACCATGTAAATAAGAGTATTACATAGTGTCGTATATTTTAATTAATTAGAGTTATTGTTTTGCAGAGCCCCTACTAGGTAAGCCATAGTTTGGTTATTTAATACAGGAATTTGTGGCCTTCCTCTGTCTTCTTTCAGCCTGTGGAGGCCTGCTGGGCACAGACCTTCTCCAACAACAAGTATGTCTGGAAGGCTGTGCTCCGAGGCCATTTTTGCTGGCTATAAAGTGGTCTCCAGAAACAGAGGGAGCACATGGCTCTTCTTAAAACTGAAGGTGTCTAATGCTCAAAATGAAACTGAGTTCTGTCTAGGCAAGAGATGTGCTTATGTGTACGAGGCAAAGAACAACACGCTTGGTGGCAAACAAAACCAGAATCACCTGGGGGGAGGTAAGTGTGCTCATGGAAACAGTGGCAGGGTCCATGCTAAACTACAAAACAACCTTCCTGCTAAGGCCATTGGACACAGAATCTGTGTAATGATGTACCCTTCAAGGATCTACTTATTGAAATGTAAATAAATAGAAGTAGATTTGTCAAATTGTAAAAAAAAAAGGAATTTGTGAAGACACACACATGGTGAATAGCATACTGGTTCTAGTGTTAAAAACTTTTGTTTTGA